CGCGGCACGGGGTTCGAACAAGCCGGCTTTTAAAAATGGCGGATCCCCGCTTATGCTAATGAAGCCCGGGAAATTCAAATCCCGGGCTTCATTAGCAAGCTGGGTATGTCTACACTACCCTCCTAGTTCGAACTAGGAGGGTAGTGTAGACGTACCCGGGGAGAGGCAGCAGACTGCATGGGGTAGGTAGAGAAAATGGGGGGTGATACTGGCATCTGTGCAGTGAGGTGGGGACAGGAGTTTGGGGTGTCTTAGCTTGTTTTCCTGTGGGCTGCAGGCAGTAAGAGTCAAACCCTGTCTGTCTCAGCACAGCAGCCTTAGCTGGACTGCAGACATAGGACTCCCTCTTGGGCTGGGGCAGGCTGTGTGGGGTGGTGCCAAAATTTCAGGTGGGTTAAAAGCTTTTAGGCTGCTTTTGAATATTGGAACAAAAGGCCTAGCTCATAATATTTGCATGATTACATTTCAGACAAAGTTTACATAGGTGTTAATGGCTTAAGATAAGAGAGGAAAGGATTCTTTTAACAGAATTTTTTTAGTGTTGTAGATATCTGCCAACTCTGATCCATTATACAGACATATGTTGTGTGCATAAAGATGTGATGTAAAAGAACACATGACCTCTTAAAATTAATTACCATAATGAATATGCAGATAAAATGGTACCAGTCTTCCAAAAGTTTGTGAATGGTTTTGCTGGTCTGCGGTATAAAAAGGTTGGGAACTACTGGCTTATAGCTCAAAATTTTACCTCACAAAGTATCTGTCTGCCCAGTCCAAGGCTTTTGCTTTGAGACTGTCCACATCAGTCAGTCTCGTTTGAGACCTTTTTTTTTCACTTGTTGACAACTATATATAGCTATGTTCCTGAAACTAGGGGTGACTTCACTTCAGGAAGTTCAAGTGTCACCAGACTGGCTGTGCCACTCTGCTGCTACAGGAAATACCAAAATTAATAATACTTAGTCCGCCCACATCTTCCACACAACAATCCTGAGGCACTTCACAAACAGTGATATATTTTTGCACTACTGTGGTGTTAGGTAAATATTATTCCTATTCACTTATGAATAAACTAGAGTACACAGCAGTGATTTGTCTGAATCTATGTAGCACAAGTCACTGGCATATATGGGTATGAAAGTTAGAAGTTCTGGCTTCCCAAACTCCTTTTGTAACCGGCACTGGTATAGCATCTAGTCCAGTCTTTTTTATAAAAAAGGTCCTTTTTTATGATAGCCCGTAGAGAGAGGGAGGGGTAGGTCAGCAAAACTTCCCAAAAATACATGCAGTTTTTCAATTCTCTTGGGATGCAAAATTAATAATAATTTCTATTGGTCCAGCTATTCCTGTCAAACCAAACACTGGTTATTGAAAATACAGACGCCACGGATGTCTGCTTTTGCCCTTCAGAGTTTTTACCAGCTGTATAGAGTGGGAATAATAATTCTTACTTACATCAGATGAGTGTTTGAGACTTACTCTATTAATGCCCTTCAGTTGAAGGATTTATATGGAGCAAAGTATATGTGCTATGGGATTATTGTGTTGGTACCCAAATAGTTCCTTAATATGAACACTCCCTTTGACTTAATGAAATCTTTTTTCTCTCAGAACTCACCTGAGTATGATATTGGGCAAATATTTTATCTTATTAAAGGTGCAACTTGCAAATACATCAACAGGTATGAGATCAGTTCAGTTAGTTTTTACTAAATGTAAGATTGACTAGTTTGTCCTGACATGCCAATTTTGGAGGCAGATCACTTATTAGTTAGGATCATGGAGTTTCTTGAAGGGCTATAGTACGCCAACAAAAATAAATAACACAATCAAGGCTTTATATCAATGTGCAAATTGCTCTGGACTTCTTAATACTCCTGTCATCTGAAGAAGTGGGTTGTGCCCATGAAAGCTCATGATACCATCTACATGTTTTGTTAGTCTTTAAGGACTATTTGTTGTTTAAGTTTTTCACTCACTAAAGTGTGCATTTAATTTAACATTGACACTAGTGTCAAACATGGGGAAAATGTGTAGATGGGTACAAAACAGGCATTGTGTGGTTTAACAGCATACTACAAGATGTAGATTTTTGTTGACGTAGCCCTTCTGAGCAACAGTTCAACAAACACGCAAGCAAAGGCCAAAAGACTGTCTGTCTACAATTGTGTTTTAAAAAAAAAAAAAAAGTCAATACTTATGTAAAAAACTGAGAACTCCAGCAACTCCTGACTCAACATTATGTAAGAAAGCAAAGGGATACAAGTATTGTCAGTTCACATACCTTGGCAGCATGCAAGCCAATGGAAATTTTTAGAAAAATAATCTCAAGAATTGGCAAAGTGGCAACTTAAACAAGATTTGATCATCAGAAAATCGGCACTTTATCAACCAAACTGCCAGTCTTTTACTTGGACATTATTTCTATCATAACCTATGAGTGTGTAAGCTGGAAATCCATCAAAGGTACTGACGGACATCTAAATGTCCTTGAAAGCAAGTGTTGTGGGAAAATACTAGATATTAAGTTAAATGAATTTAAAATAAATGCTGAGATTCATCAGAGTTCAGCCATTTATTTCTCAAGTTATTGAGAAGGGAAGATGGAACCTTCTGGTATGCATGTTAAGGATAAAGCCACAATATCTGCTATGGCAGGCAAGCCATTACATAGGTGGAGGGACATGCAAAACGGGATGATCTGAAGAATTCCTCCATGAAGTAGTGCTTAGAGAGGAAAAACGTATAGGACTTAACTCGGAAGATGTGCAAAGAGTGGTCCAGGATAGCTAGGGATAGTGGATGCTCTAAACCAAATTTGATGACATGGGGAGGCTTCACTTTCAGATAATTGAGTAATGTAAAGAACACAGAAGCAGCATAATAGAGTAAGACTATTTGAAAAGCGAGGATATCTTACCATTAACAGGGAAAGAAAAACGGGGGCTATGAGTGAAGACTGGTTCTATGTCTGCTGCAAATGGTCGGTTGTATGGCATGTCTTGTATTGCAACTATTGACGTCCTTATTTCAAGTCATAACCTAAATTGTAAGATCATTCAGGTAGGGCCTGTGTCCTTTGTTCACTGTTTCGAATGCCATTTACACCCTATGGTACTCATAACAATTTTAAATAATAACTTGAGAATATTACTATGTCCTGATACTGTGACTCCTTTTTTTTAATAACAGGGTTGACATGTACTTTACCTGGGGAAGGATATAGGTACAGGATGAGCAGTTCCATCTTACTACTGTACCTTTTGAGAGGTTGCTTATATATCGCTTCATTCTTCTGAAGTTTTGTCAGGTTAGCCAATTGTTTAAGGACTACTATCACTTTACACAAACTGTTGAGTGTGTGTGTGTGTGTGGGGGGAGGTTGTTCTTCTAGCAGTTCTTACTTATGTATTGCCCAAGCAGGTTTTGCTGGTAGGAGCAAAAGCAAATTGCCAATTTGTTTCAAATTCGTGCCCCCAGCCAACCCTGCATCTTCTCTGCATGTTCAGTTTTTTTGTTGCAGTTTGGCAGTCTGCACTGTTGTCTGTCTGAACTGGTTATTGAATTCTAGGCTCAGCTGTTGGGAAATTGACCTGGAAAGCAAAGGTGGGCACCCTGCAGCTATACTGCTTGCTCTTCCTGCCATGTGTTCCAAGTAACATAGCAAGGATGCTGCTGTCTGACAGCTCCTCGGAGTCTGAAAAGAAGAAATTTAGCTATCCCTTGGCTTTTAGATAAAGGAATGGGGTCCCGCAACCCTTACTCACATGAGTAAGTCTGCAGTAGGTCAGTCTTGTAAGATGACTTCTGTTTTCAATGTCATGTCCTTTATATTGAGTTCAGCTTGCAAAAAGGAAATAACCATTGTAACTTTTTGTTTGTTTGTTTTTTAATTCATTGGCCACATGAAAATCAAACAGTGTGTTTTTTAAACAGTGTGAGACTTGTAGAATACCGAGAGGCAGGGAAGGATGGGCTTGTGACTAAGGCACTGGAGTGGGGGATGGGGGGTCAGCAGCTGCCTCATTGCTGCAGACTTCCTATGGGTCACTTTATCTCTCTGGGTTCCCTATCGATAAAAGGGGAATAACATTGTTGCACAAGAAGATGATAATGTTTGAGACTCGCAAGCACTACACTCCTCAAAGGCAATATAAGCACCTAGTTTTTAAAATGAAAATGTTACTTCAAAAATTTGGTTGCTGATGATTGGTGAAATACTGTTTAATAGGTCAGGCCTAAAATACAGGTCTTGCTAAACATTTGTACATAGCCATATATATATATAAAAGAGAGAGAGAGAATCTACAGAGTGTTAATCATTTACTAAAACAACTATTAATGATTTTATCAGTTGTTGTAAAATCCAAGTTTGTTGTAGCCATCTGTAACACCTGCTCAAGGGATTGTAAAATTTAACCAAGAATGTAAACCTACCACACATGTCTGTAACATGCATATTATGTATATTAATTATTTAGAACTACTTATAAATGTTCTGTCAATATAAATTGTGACATTTAATTCAATATAAACAATTTTTTTTAATGTGGAGAGCTCCTAAACCCAACCCAAACATTGTGATAAATAATGCTTGAGAACCTGAAAGTAAAATGGAGTGGAAATTGTCTAAGAACAAAAGTGAAACTGACAAAATCTAATTTATTTTTTCCAAACTGATTTTTGTTAATTGTTTTAACAGTCTGAGTTAATAACTGATGTAACAGCTATAAGAACAAAACTATACTTCTAATGTGCCAAGCTTCCCCAATTATCACCTCTAATACCATTAGCTCACAGACATTTACCTCCCCCCCCCCCCCCCACTCCATATGTGTTCATTTTTTTAATTGTATCCTTTGGTATATATGATTGTGACTATTTTCTTCCACTATTTGATCTGAGGAAGTGGGTCTGGCCCACGAAAGCTCATAATCTAATAAACCATCTTGTTAGTCTTTAAAGTGCTACATAGTCCTGTATTTTGTTTCAATATCCCTTTAAATTTCCTTCTCAGTTTTTCCATAAAACTTCTAAACTGTCTTCGAGGATCTGAATGGTTAGAGCATGTGCCGTGTCTTGTTTTGATGGGAAGATTTGTAATTCATCAGACTGGCATACTGCCCTGTAAAAGATACTTTAAAACATGATTAATATAATTGCAATGACAGATTTAGCATTGATGGCTCCTTGGTAGAATAATAAACTCTGCTGCTTTTCTGGATAAGCTGGCTATGGTGTGTAGAGTGTGGCAGGTGCAGTACACTTGGCATTTTGCCTTTCTCTGATTCACTAGTCTTTTTTAATTGTTGCTTTCCAAATCTTTTATACTACCATCTAGTCACTGCTGTGCAAAACTGGTAATTACTGTTAATGATCTTGTCCCTTTATTCGGCACCTTTAATCAAAGGATCTCAACAGTTTACAAAGGTGGGTGGTAATATCCCCATTATACAGATGGGAGAACTGAGGCCCAGAGAAATGAAATGGCTTGCTAAGGTGAATCCAGAGAACTAAACCAGATGCAGTTTGTCTCAGGCAAGAGATGGGTGAATGCATCTGTTGCATGTTTTGACTTAATTTTTTGTGTTGAGGTTGTGCCTTTGGAGCGGAGGAGAGGGAAGGGACAAAAGAAAATGCAAACTACCCCTTCTGCCAGTCTGCTATGATTTCCATTATTAGCATTTCCCTGTGTCTTCGGGCTAGAGGACCTAGGAATGCCATACAGAGCTTAGACTTTGCGCCAACAGAAGTGCATGTTCACCTCACACAGAAGTGATTATTCTGTTTAAGAAACAGTTTTGGCAGGCTGCCTGGAATGCCCCATATAGTGTTACCTGGAATCTTAATACAGTGAAACCTTTGTTATCCGGCACTCTGTTAACCAGCAGACTTCATTAACTGGCATTGCCCCCAGCCACAATACTGTCACATCTTTACAGGCCTGGCTTGGTTTACCATGATTGGCTTAACTATTTTTTTATTTAAGAAGTACTAATCATCTTTAACTCAAAATAGAAATGTGAAACCAACAGCCTCATACTACAAAACTACCAATATTAAAAACTTGAATTTTACTATTATTGTCCATTGGTTTTTCCTAGGTTGATGGGACCCTCAGATAACCGGAATTTTTAGATCACTGGAATGCCCTAATCCCCGAGTGTGATGACACAGGTTTTACTGTAGTTGCATTTCAGCGCTACGAAGGTGAAGAAATTAAAGGGTCTCTGCCTACATCCTCTTTGAAAACCCTTTGCTAGGTTTCCTTGGCTGTTTGTGTCCAAATTTGAGCTAATTATGCTTGGTTTCAGGGCCTCCCACAATTTAGTTCCTGCCCTCAGCACTCCAAACAATGAGGATAAGGGAGGCATAAAATGAGGAGTACAGGATCTTTCGAAACGGGGCATCTCTGTCGAAAATGCCCCTTCTATAAACTGCCAGTGTGGGGTTTTTTTTTTTTCCTCCAAAAAAGCCCTGTTTTGGAAAAAAAAGTGGCAGCTGCCATTATGCAAAAAAAATTGAATTACAGAGAAAGACTGCAGAACTGGAATTCATCTACAAATTTGCCACTGTTACCTTGGGTTTTGAATAATGACATTGACTAGTTGGCACATTACAAAGCCAATTCCTCCTGCCTTTAACATCCAAATTTTCACATCAAAAGCTATGAATGGGACTCACCCAGCCCACTTAATTAACCTCGTTAACACAGGTCCTATAATTGACAGGTACATATTCTGCTGATAACAGAAGCCAAGCTAAATATGTATTTCCACTCCAATTAATCTGATGAAGTGGGTTTTACCCACAAAAGCTCATGATTCTATAGATCTGTGAGCCTCTAAGGCTGTGTCTAAACTACATCCCTTTTTCGATGAAGGGATGTAGATTAGGCATGTTGATATTGCAAATGAAGCTGGGATTTAAATACAGGCAGTCCCCGAGTTACGCGGATCCGACTTATGTCGGATCCGCACTTACGAACGGGGCTTTTCTCGCCCCGGAACTCGCGGACAGTGGGACCACCCAAATGCGCAGTGGTCCCGCCACCGCGTCCTCCGGGGCGAGAAAAGCTGCTCCGGGTGTCCCTGGTCTGCTGGGGAGGTCCCCAGCAGACCAGGGACACCCCGAGCAGACCAGGGACACCTGGAGCAAAGCCGCAGAGGCTTTGCTCGGGGTGTCCCTGGTCTGCTGGGGACCTCCCCAGCAGACCAGGGACACCCGGAGCAGCTTTTCTCGCCCCGGAGGACGCGGTGGCGGGACCACTGCGCATTTGGGTGGTCCCACTGTCCGCGAGTTCCGGGGCGAGAAAAGCCCCGTTCGTAAGTGCGGATCCGACATAAGTCGGATCCGCGTAACTCGGGGACTGCCTGTATTTAAATCCCAGCTTCATTTGCAATATCAACATGCCTAATCTACATCCCTTCATCGAAAAAGGGATGTAGTTTAGACACAGCCTTAGAGGCTCACAGATCTATAGAATCATGAGCTTTTGTGGGTAAAACCCACTTCATCAGATTAATTGGAGTGGAAATACATATTTAGCTTGGCTTCTGTTATCAGCAGAATATGTACCTGTCAATTATAGGACCTGTGTTAACGAGGTTAATTAAGTGGGCTGGGTGAGTCCCATTCATAGCTTTTGATGTGAAAATTTGGATGTTAAAGGCAGGAGGAATTGGCTTTGTAATGTGCCAACTAGTCAATGTCATTATTCAAAACCCAAGGTAACAGTGGCAAATTTGTAGATGAATTCCAGTTCTGCAGTCTTTCTCTGTAATTCATTAGTGAAATTCCTTTGTAGAAGAACGGCTACCTGAAATCCATGATTGAGTGAGTAGGCAGGTTAAATTGTTCCCCTATAGGTTTATGTGTGTGACCATTTCTGATGACTGATTTGTGTCCATTTATTCTTTGTCATAGAAACTGTTTGGTTTGGCCAATACACATGGCAGAGGGGCATTGCTGGCACTTGATGGCATATATCGCATTAGAGGATGTACAGTTGTATGAGTCTGTGATGTTGTGGCTTATGTGGCTAGGTCCTGTGATGGTGTTGCTTGTACAGGCAGTCCCTGGGTTACATGGATCCGACTTACATCGGATCCCTACTTACAAACAGGGTGAGGCAACCCCGCACTAGCTGCTTCCCCCCAGCAGACCAGGGAGACGCGAAGCTAGCACCCCCCCCCCCAGCAGACCAAGGAGACGCGGAGCGGCTTTTCTCAGCAGACACCTCAGCTTGAGAATAAAGGACTGAGGGAAGTGAGGTGTGGGAGAATAAAACTGAGCTCTGGAGAAATGTTT